TTTTGCCTGTGCATCCTTGCTCATGAGTTCCCTCCCATCCACAGGGGCCAACCCCACCGACCCCTCAACCCCAACGCAGCCAGGATGGCCCAGAAGGTGGGAGGTGCTGATGGGTGCCCTCGCTGTGGCCAGGCCGTGTATGCAGCCGAGAAGGTGATCGGAGCTGGGAAGGTAAGAGGGATGGAGTGGATGGGGCATGAGTTGCTGTGTGGCAAGGAGACCTTCAGAGAGGGTCTTGACCTGACCCACGGGCTGGGCTGCCACAGCCTCCAGCCAGGGCTGGGCTTGGGGTCCAGAGGCTCACCTGGAAGCCTGGCACCAAAAGGAGGCCTTGGCATGTCTGGAAAACAGGTTCTTACAGACTTGGAGATGGCAGAGAAATAGATTTATATTAAATATTCAGAGCACTGCTCAGCGGAGGTTACAGTGGACATCCCTGCTGCAGATCTGTTGGGAGGACTGGCAGGGATGTGAACCATGGCTGCTGCCACCACTAACTGAAGGTGTACATCATCCAGTGACCCTTCTCCACCCTCTGCCCCAGGTTGGGACGCTGCAGCCTGAACTCGGGGCAGGGAGTGAATTCCAGTGGGCAGCACTGCCCACAGGCAGGGCAGGGTGGCTGAAAGTGTGGACACAACTCAGTGCTTCTCCCTCAGGCTGTTCTGCTGTGGGATGTGAAGGACACTGTAACAGCTCTGGGACTTAGAATCATCAAGGTCGGAAGAGACCTTTAAGATCATCAAGTACAATTTGCTGTTGAGTTCATCACTTCACCAGGGTTTGTTGCATCCTGAGCTGTGGTCTTGTCCCAGCCCAGGTCAGGAAAGTCCTGTGCAAGGCACTGCCACCCCTGAGACCCTGAGTAATGTCCCTGCCTGAACAACTCTCCCTTCCTCTGAGGGACATGTGCAGAGCTTGCCAGGGCCACCAGGTCAGGCTGTTTGGCTTTGTGCCATGGGGACAGGGTGGCTGTGCTGGGAGACCCTCACTGGTGACATGGGGACACTCACTGACCCTGCTGTGCTCTGTCCTCCTGGGGCTTCTGTGTTTGTCCTCTGTCCCCAGAGCAAGGAGAGGAAGCATCAAGTCAACAGAAAGGGCCTCCCAGCGTCGGCGTCCCCAACTGGCAGTGCAGGGACCTGTGATGGACACATTGAGGGGCAGCCCAGAGCCAGAAGCCAAACTTACCCTTAAAATCATGATCTGAGCTTCCTGCTTGGCTTCTGCCCTCAATGTTTATGGGGAACCAAAGTTGGTGAAGCAATTAAGACTCGAGCAAGCCTGAAGAGGATTCCAGAGCATGTATTTCATGTGCTAATGTTTGCTGGATGACTCCATCCACTACCTCCTCCTCCTCCAGCTCCCTAATTTCACATTTTCTTCCAAAAAAGGTTTCATGTTTTCTGGTGTTTATTTAAATTCCTTCATGAGCAGCTCTGGCCACTCAAGGTCTGCCTGAAGGCTGTGAGCTCATCTATCTCCAGAGGCCTGCTGGAGCTGTGGGGGGTGTTATTTTTAAACACTGGCTGCTTTTTGCATTCTTCCTATGCGTTTGCTGCCTTCCTTGGAGCTGTGGCTGGGTGGGGGCAGGTGTGCCAGCCCTGCTGCCACCCCCAGGCTGATGTGCAGCATCTGTGGCTCTCAGCTGGAAAACAGGAGGATTTATCTTGCTGGTGGAGAGAGGACAATCCCCAAAGTGGGGAGATTGCTCCTTACAGATTATTGTATGAGTTACCATACAAATGACCTCTGTGAATGGGGTGAAAGCTCTCCAAACCAGATCAACAGGAGAGCAGTGACCACACCTCGTGTTTCCTTTCTGTATGTTCCCCCTGTGGCTGGGAGATTGGGAGTTTTTCCAGAGAAAAGCTTTCATCTCATTCAGAGCTCTGACAACAGCTTTGGGTCAGGAAGAGAGCAGTGAGCCCATTTGGTAGGCAAAGCCTTGCTGCCCTGTCCCTGGGTGTTGTCTGACCACACTCTGCTCCTGCCCCACAGTCCTGGCACAAGTCCTGCTTCCGCTGTGCCAAGTGTGGCAAAAGCCTGGAGTCCACCACCCTGGCAGACAAAGATGGGGAGATCTACTGCAAAGGTGAGTCCCACCTTCCCAGCTGGCTGGGCCTGGGCTCCGAGGGCTGCTGGCAGGGGGTAAAAACCCCTGTGCAGGGACCAGGGATGGGGTGGAGGTTGGGGAGTTGGTGGCCCTGGCAGCTGCCTGTGGGGAGTGGCTGTGCCAATATTGGGCCACGGAGCCAGGGAATTTCCTGCCATGCCTGGGGCCTCTCTGTTTGCCCAACAAACGGGGCAAACCCTGCTCTGTTTAACAGGGAAGAGGACCTGCCTGTGTGCCAGCCTGACCTGTATCTCCCTTCCGTCCTCTGCAGGTTGCTACGCCAAGAACTTCGGTCCCAAGGGCTTTGGCTTTGGGCAGGGCGCCGGGGCAC